TAGCCAGCTCCTTTCCCGAAAATGACGCTTTTAGGGGTAGGAGCGTTTGCGATACCGTGTGGCACGAACTCTTCGTTTTATGAGATGCTCCTCTCTGCTAAAAGAGCTTTAGCGCTCCGTCTAACAGAGGTATGCCCCTCGACGCCAGGCAGACAACCCCGAAACGCATTATCTTCTGCCTTTTAGAAGTCCATGGTTAGTGTACGCACCTGTCTTAGGCTTGGCATCCTCAATAACCTCAAAAACCATGTGCGTTGCTTTTTATACGTCATATCGCGCTAGTTTGCCAAAAGGCAGGAAGCTTGGGGGAGCACCCTGCCGTTGTAGAGGCCATGAACAACCCAGAGCTGGTAAAACATCTATGGTGCCACTTCAAATATGCCGTCGCACAACCAGGTGTTGCAGGGGTTTAAGCGGCTTTCGTCTTAGAGGTGAAAATTATTCTTTTTTCTGAGTCGTTGGAACCTGTGTCCTAAGCAACAAATTGTTCAGGCGACGGTGTTCTCGTTAAACGCAAGTGTTCCGGTATAACCGTCTTCGATTCTATGGTGGACTTGAACAGCACCATGTGTATCGGGTTGAACCAACACCACCTAGACAGAAGGCCTCCGCATGGTTTCCTCTTCCTCTATGAAACGTCATCACAGCCAGATCGCGCTCGGTCGGCTATTGGACCCGAGTCCGACCTTCGACGCGCTGATTGGCCACAAGCCGCAGCCGAACACTGACGCAGCACTCGTGCCCAATCTCTCGCATCGATCGATATGACTATGATGACGCGTGTGGAGGCCTTCTGTCTAGGTGGTGTTGGTTGAACTCTGTTCACTGTTCTTTCTATACTCCGTTTCACCTTATGTTGTACCGCAGCGAAGGCTAGAAGCGCGAGCTCATAGCGTTGGGAGTTGTCCTTAATGCACGAGAGCGTGTGCCGCCCTGATGTGCCCTAGGGCAAGAAGCTCGCGCTTGTAGCCTTTCTTGCGGTACATCATAAGGTGAAACAGAGTATAGTGAAGGTAACTTGGGGAGCTTCGCAATTGTAGCCGGCCTTGCCCCTTGAAGGCAGGCGGCTTCGACGTTTTGACTCCGTACCCTTCTGTCGCTGTGCCCTTTGTACGGCGTGCCGTTTAGTCACTGTGCTGTTTTGACGCTGTGCTGTTTTGACGCCGCGCTGTTTTGGCACGCGCTCTTTCGTTGTGCCATTTTGACGCTGTGCTGTTTTGCGCGTGCTATTTTGACGCGTGCTGTTTCGTCACCATGCTGTCTTGATGCCGCGCTCTTTTGACGCGTGCTGTTTTGACCTCGCTGTTTTGTCGCGTGCTATTGTGTCATGGTGCCAACGAAATGACAGCACCAGCTCACTTCCAATGCTGTCAGACGCTACTGTCGTGAGTTCTTCCTTTCTAATAAAGGACGCTATCAAGCTCCTTTCCCTAAAATGACACTTTAGGGGAAGGAGAATTTGCGGTGCCGTGTGGCACGAACTTATCGTTTTAGGAGATCATAATCTCTGCTAGAGGAGCTTTAGCGGTTCGTCTTTAGGTGGCATCGTCAATAGGCTGAAGTAGCATGAGTATTGCTTCTTATACGTAGTTTCACGGTTGTTTGCCAAAATGCAGTAGACAAGGGGGAGCAGCCTACCTTTGTAGAGGCGATGAACAACCCAGAGCTGGTAAAACATATGGTGCTACCTTAAATGCGCTGTCGCACAACCAGGTGTTACAGGCGTTTAGGAGGCCCGGCCCGTCTTAGGGGTGAAAATTATTATTTTTAGCCCAATCGCTAAAGCCTGTGTCCCCCGCAACAAATTCTTCAGGAGACGTTGTTTTTGTCAAACGCAGGTGTGCCGGTATAACTACGTCTTCGATTCTGTGGTGGACTTGAACAGCGCCATGTGTACCCCGTTGAACTCTGTTAACTGCCCTTTGTAGTGAATATAACTTGGGGAGCTTCGCAATTGTCGCCGGTCTTGCCCCTTGAAGGCAGGCGGCTACGACGTTCCGAGGGTTGTCGTGGAAACGCTTGGCTGAAGTTTTGATTTCATCTCATAAACATGCCGCATCGACATTTTCGGGACTCGGTAGATGGCACGAGTGGCCCTGAGTCGCAATGTTTGTCTCACCTGCTGTAACAGCACATCCACGGCAACCCTCTTTGAAATTTCTTGAATCTCCATGTCGTCTTGTCGTCGTCACTCCTGTGCTTCGTGTAGATGTAACCTTCGAAGCAGAGCTTCGGCGATCCCCAATGGGAGGCCACAAGGGTAGCCATGGTTGGGCGGGCTCCACACGTGAAAAGCCGATTTTATAACTTAATCGTCTAGGCAGGAGAGTTTGTGGTACGAAATATTAATGTATGGGATTGCGATGGTATGAAGCGTCTTGAGATGACGCGTGTCGAAATAGAACGTCTTTGCCATAAAGTGTCTGGGATGAAGTGCCTTGGCATGAAGTGACATGCGATGAAGGGAGTGGCTTTTCAAAGACAACTGAATGGCTCGGGATACTGCATGGACTATTCTGGCATGAAGTGTCGTGGTATGGAATGTTCATGGGATAAACTGTCGGGGGATGAAACACCTTGGTATGAATGGACTTGGGTATAAAGTGTTTAAGATGAAGTGTCCTGGGATGATGTGACTTGGGATGAAGTATATTAAAAGTCGTACCCTTAGCTTTGGCTTCACTGTCTTCGAATGCACGCGAACGCACTTTCAGCGTCCATTCCACACAATCAGAATCATTTTTCTGGGCAGACAAAAAATGGGAGCTAGTTCTGAGCATGCGCTTCGAACAGCGCCCTACAATATGGTGTTAATAATATGCCGTCCCACGAGAAAGAAGAACGAAAGAGATAAAGAGAGAGAGAGAAAGAAAGGAAGCATTTTTCAGTCAGCTCCGCCACGGCTGCTCCCAGAAGGCCTCGCTCGTACCATCTGCTTGCGGCAAACCGTTCGTCCGATCGGCGCAATCAGAGAAATTCGTTCAAAGAAATGCAATATTTCTGATCATCATCCATCTGTATAAATCACATATTCCTGTACTGTACGAATTCGGAAGCTCGGTCGGGCATTATTTGGGGAAACTTCACATTTCGGTTCGGCATACCTGTGTGGCTGGCAAATAAACCGTAGCTTAGTTTGAGGATCCGTGTGTGGCGTGTCTCCTTTTCTCTGTTTTACTGAGTCTCGAAGTTTTTCAAACAAGAATTTTTTCTTATTCGTTACGAGGTATTTTTTTTTTCTTTTAACTCCCGATAAACTGAAAAAAAACAAAAAAACAAGACTGCTGAAAAGGTGGCCGCCTGCGCGCTCTCAATTATGCCATCATGCTGCAAAAATATCACTCGCCACAGATTTAATATGTATAGAGGAAAGTGCATAAAGTTTTGGAAAATACGAACAGACGTCCTTGATGACGGGGCTCAGGGAAGAACGTCTGTGGCAACTCACGCTCGTGTTGAACTCTTCATGTATTGGCCGAGAGCTTGCCCCACGTAGTTACAACTGCCTTAATCTGTGGGGTAATTGTGTAGAGAAGTAGGTGTATCTAGCGCCACTAAGTGAGCTGCGCTTAGAGTATCGGCACTCCGTTCCGCGTGCCTTGTTGTGGGCGCCGCCATTTTGGTGCTTGTGCAGAGCAGACGCAACTGCCGATCGTAATAATTCAAAAGTGCGACTTCCTCAGCATTAGAATCGGTGTTAGGAAGTTCACGTATTATTGCTTTGCTTTGTCGCGAACTATATAAACATTTGTGGAGGACGGAAAATCGTTCTGTGTGGTTTTAGATAAAGCTTCAGATAACTGGCAACCATGATTTTAAGCCACAATATGGCTAAGTGTCGTTACATTGAAGCGTAGCTTATTTAGTGGCACTAGATGTATCTACATCGCTCTTGTGTTTTTTACCCAAATACTGTTTCATCAGAAGGGGAAAAAAAAAACGCCAGTCCTCGTACCTATAACTTCCCTCTGCAATTCCCTTGTGGCCGTGATATGGTATTTAAAATAAATAAATAAATAACAGTGCGCCCGTTGTGCTTTTTTTCTTTCTAAATTAGCTGTCATCGTGTTTTGCGCCACTGAGAACTTTCGCTTATTTAGGTTATCTTTCCACAGATGCGCGCGAAATTAAACCTCAAAACAACAGCTGTTCGTTGCTAAAAAAAACGGAGGTGCACATGTCCTCCACCTTCTAAAACCAACGCAAACACATTGTTTTGCGCGTTTCTTTTTTTATTGTGTAAGCTAACGGCAGCCCTCGTTTCACCAAAGCTTGGCATAGAGCGAACCCTTCGACCACCACGAGCCAATCAAAGTGACGGAGGCGAATCATGTGACAGCCCTTATCAAAGGTGCACGGACGGGAGCGTGACCTAAGCAGTTGAAGAAGAGGGTGAGGAAGAACACCCCTCTTGCCCGGGCCATCTTTTGGGTGTCCCAGACGTCGCATTTGTCCTCTTCGGAGAGTAGCCTCTCACTCGAAAATTCTCAGAAAAGCGGCTTTCCTCTTCCTCCTGGAAGCTGCTCCCGCGAAGCCGCCCACTCTTTCCATTTTCGCAGACCGAACGCTGGAGAGGAGGTAAGAAGGATCTGGCCTCCTTTACAGCGTTCACTCCGCTAAGGTGGAAAGAGGGGAGGGCTTCGAGGGAGCAGCTGGACCCGACCTCCCTGTCATCCACTACAGAGAGATAGAGTAAGCCACGTGTGTCCCTGCGACGCGCTAATTGGATCACCGGGGCATAGCCTTCGCCGTGTGCCAAGCTAAGGCAAGAAGGGGTCCTGGTTCTGCTTTTGGTTTCTACGCACGCCCTGGCAACGAGTCGTGCACACGCTGCGACGCCATCGCTGCACACGGTGCAAACATTTCACAACTGCTACTGTGCTCTCTAATTGCTCCCCTGTGTCGACTTCCACTCCGGGAAGCCACGGTTCGGGTATAAATTGCTCACCTGTTTTGGAGCCGGGATGTACTGTAACGGCGTGCTCCGAGGGACCATCACCATGAAGAAGTTCCTGCTGACTGCTGCTCTTTCGACCCTCTACGTGGCTGCTGCTGTTGCGAGACCCCGTACGTACTGCGGGGACCTTCGAGTCCGATAAAAAAAAAATCTACACGCGATTATAGATAGACCTTTGCAAAAGTCGCCTTCTGAGCGTTTCCATCTTTCTCTGCTGGGCTGTGGAACACCTAAGTATACGTTGTCCATCTGCTGTGCGGAATCTCAGACGCTGTGCATGCGTCCGCAGCTCAGTGACTCAGCATTTTTCACCCGTGTGATGAGCGATGCAAAGGTCTATAGTCCGTTTCGTGTTAGGGAGATTCAGTAGATCGCTCCGATATAACTCCGACAACAACACCCGCGATGCTTCGGCGGCGACGCCTTTTCGGCACGCGTCGACATTTTTCGTTATCGAGTATCGTTATCAGAGGGAGGTATGCCGGCATGATCCGCTAAAACTCTCCATCGAGTCCGACCGCGCATCTGGTGCTATGTATACGAACCGACCGGGCCAATCACGAGGCGCTAAAAGTGCACCGTCATGGTTTGCCACCTCTGGCTAAAGCAATCAGGCACAGTGAATGCGGAGTGATCCTGCTTTTTTTTCTTCGGTAAGCGTATAAAGATAATGAGCGCCGTGGCGTTGCACTCTTATTGCTGTTTGCTTGGCTCCATCGGATCATGATGACGGCTGCGCGTTCAGACTGAAAGGGTAACGGGCTAGATATATAACCGAAAATGTGTTTTAGCAGTTTCCTTTTTTAATTTCCCCAAGAAAGCAGCGAACGCTCTGATAAGCTAATGATATTTTGTCTATTTCTTCTTTCTAATTGCTGAATAAACTATGGCCTGTCAGGTAGAGCTTAGAAGTATTGTTACAACTTACAAGGAATACTCGAACGAAAGAAAAATGTTTAGCTCAAAGTAAAAGTACGCTACGCCGAATGTAACAATTATTAGAAAGTTTAAGGTCGACGGACAGATGGATGCTAATGGCTGTACCCTTTATAGCGGGCGGTACCTTGCGCCACCCATCTTCCAAACCAAAAGTATAATCCACCCCCTCGCTCTTCTGAACAGAGCGTGCGCAGAACTTCAGCGCATTCGCAATGTGGCACCCCAAGATGCTTGCGGGACCCCAAGTGTTGGTACCTGACCTCCCCCCCTCCCCCCCCCCCTTATTCTATAACTCTGTATTGAACTGCATACGCTAGCACGTTTCTCCGCAACCGGGATATTGGTTTATGCCTATAGGGTTCCCTGTTTTCGGTATATACTAATAAACACCGAAAACTAACCGCCTAGGTGGTTTTGATTGAATCGGCGAAAAAAAAAAATTCAACTGTCATTTAAGAAAAAACAGAACAAAAAAGTCGCCACCTTTACGGGAAGATATTATATAGCGCGAAAATATCAATAATAAATAGCGCGTAAATGTCACCGAAATTCTAGTAAGCCTGGAAATATATAGACAAAAAAAAAAGGGACGCCGTTTCTGCTGCCGTTCCTTTTGAAAATGTAACGAGATCCCGTTCCAGCGATGCAGGAGGGAACGGCGGCGTTGCTCCGTTCCTCCTGAAAAGGTGCGCGTTCCAGAAACGTCGTTCCTTGAAACGGCGTTCCACGTGCAACACCGGATCCGAACGAGGAATGGGTCGCGGATTTGTGGTTCCACGGTTCAGCTTAATTGATGAGCCGAAAAATAATAGGGCTCGTGCGCATCGGGCGAAGGAGCGCTCGAATTACCTTCTCTTTTTGATTTGCAGCCCGCAACGCAGAGCCATACCAAAGTCGCGAGGATCCTGCCGCCGGGGTAAGGTCGCCTCATTTTGAGCACTTCAAATATCACAATTTTTGTAATATAGCTTCATCGGCGGCCACGGGGAAGGCATATCTTTTTGTTGTCATGCGTGGAATAAAGAAGCACTGTCTATAATGCTCCCTTTCACTTTATGTCCCACCGCAACCGTCGCTACCATCGAGAAGAGCGAAAAGTGCACCGTCGTGGCCCTCGTCGCCTTTGTGCGTTTACCATCGCCACGGCTCAACCAACTACGCAGGGAAAGAAAAAAAAAAAAAAAAAACAGGTTCCCAGCGCATTTACCACATGCGCGATTGGTTTAGTCCAGGGGTCTCCAAACCCCGGCCCACGGGCCGAATCCGGCCCTAGGAGGTCTTCTGACCGGCCCGTCAATTACCTTGGTCCTTGCAATAAAACCTAGCCGATCGGCCCGCTTCTAGGGTAGACCCGCTACTACCGGGCCCTCAGTCGCGTCGCTGCGCCGACGACAAACATGAGATTCTGCAAGGCAGAAGATCCTCCTCGTGCTGGGGAAGAGGAAACGGGCAACGCCTGACGGGGTAGAAGGGGGGAGAGGAGGAAGCGGCGGAAAAATGGAAAGCGCGAACTGGTCGTCGGTCTTTAAGGAAACAGCGCAGCGCACCAACAGCGCAAACCGAGGTACCAGAAAGGACGATAAAAAACTGCCTATCGTGACGCGGGTCCTCTAGCCTCATTATCAATTTGATATTTTAATCAGCACCATCCTTAAACCCATTTTATATCTAACTAGACGCGTAAAAATTCTTTCGCGATTTCAGTATATTGCGCCCATGGAGTCCTGTGTCGTAACAATCGCATTGTTGTATACCACTCTCAGATCTTCTACCCTGTGTGAGTATGGCAAAGTTACATTGCGCTTTGTTACATGGGCTCCAATTATTGTGCGATGACATAACTAGCTTAACACTGAATTTCAAAATAAAGCGTATGTATTCATTCACCTTAATGTTTTTTTTTAAATTGTTACTCTAGCTTTTACTCTTCTATTTAAGTGCATGTTCATGTTTATATATTTAGTATTTCCCCATTTATATTTACTCGTTTTTTGCCGGTCCTCGAGAGTGCGACAGATCCCCCATCTGGCCCCTTAGCCAAAGGGTTTGGAGACCTCTGGTTTACTCGGTGATCGTAGTTGCAACTAACCATCACCATAACAACTAGACGTAATAGCTTCTGGCTCCGGCTACTAGCTCAACATGCCGGGCGCAAGTTCGTCTGCTTCTTGCACAGGGGTCGCGGTGACGTCAGAGCTCCAAGCTTCAATTGGCTCTGATTAGAGCCACTAAATGAGCTGCGTTTAGAGTATCGGCACTCCGTTCCCCGTGCTTTGTTGTGGGCGCCGCCATTTTGGGGCTCGCGCAGAGCAGACGCAACTGCCGACCGTCATGATTCAAAAGTGCAACTTCCTCAGCATTAGATGCGGTGTTAGGAAGCTAATGTAATATTGCTTGGCTTTGTCGCGAACTATTTAAACATTCGCGGAGGACGGAAAAGCGTTCTCTGTGATTTTAGATAAAGCTTCAGATAACTGGCAACCATGATTTTAAGCCACAATATGGCCAAGTGTCGTTACTTTGAAGCGTAGCTTATTTATTGGCACTAGATGTATCTACATCGCTCTTCTGTTTGTTTACCCAAATACTGTTTCATGAGAAGTGGAAAAAAAAAGTCAGTCCTCGTACCTGTAACTTCCCTCTGCAATTACCTGGCGGCCGTGATATGGTATTTAAAATAAATAAATAAATAACAGTACGCCCGTTGTACTATTTTCTTTCTAAATTAACTGTCATCGTGTTTTTTGCATTTCGGAACTTTCGCTTATTTAGGCTATCTCTCCACAGGTGCACGGGGTTGTCTACGTCCCAGCGCGGCTCCGCGCAAAACCATGATGTTGTTTCCATGTGATGCCCAACGCGGCTAGCAAAAATAGGAATTTCTCCCCGTGTGGATATCCCCTTAGGAAGCCACTCAAATACACGTTGCTAGGTGTTTTTTTATGTATAAGGCAGTCACGCGCCATTTTGACGTCACGTGACGTCACGGAGCCACGTCACTTCACGATGTCACGTGACGTGTTAACGTGATGTCATAATGCCGTATGACGTCACAGTATAAAGTGACGTCATGGTGCTACACGTGGCATCATGTTGTCTAACGACGTCCTTCTGTCTTGTGGCCTCATGTTACGCGAATATATGACCTCTCGTGACGTCAGTGCCACGTGACGTCACATCGTACCGTGCCTTCATAGTCACACCTGGCGTCTCTGGGTCACTTGACGGCATCATTTCACGTGAAGTCATGATGTAAGGTGACACTTTGACATCGTAGAGTCGACACGCCACGTACAACACAAAGATCCCCGAGTCTATAACCCTATATATACTAACAAATGAAAGATAAAAATGGTCGATTGAACTAACATCATATTTTTCGGGCTACGTTTCGCAACTCGAAAACCCGCAGGACTCCCAGGACCCCTCTGTCTACAACGACCAGTGCCGCGAGCGCCATAACTACTACAGGACGAAGCACGGCGTGCCTGAACTGAAGAACGATGACGATGTATGTTTGTTTGTTTTTCATTTAGGAAGTTTTCGTGGCATATACCAGCTATGATCACTGACAAAATTGGAACTTTAGAGAGGTTCTTTAGTTGTCGTGCCTCAGTCGCGAGCTTCCTGCCTTCCATAACGCCCGACGTCACGTGAGCCTCGAGCGTGCGCAAGCAGTGAAAGCACGACGGAAGGTGACAAGCGTGTGCTGCAGGCATGGGCATCTGAAGAAGGCTGCCTGAATGATTCTCATTTTGCTGGTAACTGGTAACTTTCAAAACAATACAATGGAATATATGTTATGGCTTACCGAAGCTGTGCTCACGCGCGCTTACAAAATAAAAATAGATAGTTGGTATTCCGATAGTTTCTCATACAAGAAATTTACCGTGCTTGATGATGATTGAATGATTGTAGTGGTCGCTGAATCAGCGCTTCCAAACCAAAATACGGTGTAGAATGAGATAAAGAAGTTGCATGATAAATAAACTAAATTGGGATGAAGGTAGGTGGCTAGGCCGTTATATTAAGGTGATATACCTGCTACAGATGTTTTTGTTCATAGCTGTTCATAGGATTTGTTCATAGGTGACGTGACACCAAGCCATGTGACGTCATTTTCCCAGTCTCGAGTAGTAACGCGTTACTAGTAACGCGTTACTGTAACTTTGTTACCTTTTTGGTAACTTGTAACTGTAACGAGTTACTTTTTAAATATCTAACTTGTAATTGTAGTTCTATTACTTTTTCTGAGGTAACGATGAAAGTGACGACGTTACTTTTGTCGTTACTTTCCAGTTGTTTATGAATAACATATAATTGAACAAGTACGATCTAGCTATCCCTTGCACTTTCCAAATTATCTGGTCCGACATTTCGATTGTCCAGTTGGCCTTGCACAAACTTGCGTATACGTTCTTTCTCGCGAGTCACGACTCGAATATAGTCACGTGCAAATTTGATAAAACAAAAATCTAGTTATTTTTACAAATGGGATTGTGCTTTGTGACTCAACCCTTACATCTTGGTATCTTGAAGCACTATCTACGTTGATGTTTTTCTTTCTTTCTGCGCAAAAGCTTTTTAATCGGGTGAATCAACCGTGAAACAACAATACACTCGGAGGGCACGCGGGGCGCCGGAGTAGTGGCGCATTTTGATTTACGCCACTCCTCCGGCGTGGTGTCAACAGTCGAGGCAAAATTTACTGCTGTTTGCGCGGGGTTTGTTTCTGGCTTGGCGGGTACGAACCGAAATATGTCCCGGGACTCTATGAACCCAGCGCAACCGTCAACGAGCCAGCAATGGGTTAGTGCTACCAAGGATAGGGATGTTGATGAGAACAAAGAACTATCATGGCCGGCGTACAGACAGTATTTTGCTGAGTTGAAGGTGGTTTTTTTCTGCTTTTTTCTGAAAGTAACTGTAACGAATTACTTTTTAAAAGTAACTTACCCAAGACTGAATTCCTCCCGCTAAATTTAGCGGGGAAACTTAATTGGTGTTGAAATCACGTGACGTCAATTTTTTCGCTACATTTAGCACGGTTACGCTAACGCCGCGAAACCGGGAAACGGGCGCCTATGAGCTGCGCTATAAAAAAATATACAAGCTTCATCATGATGACAAAGACTAGTAAGCACAGAATGTGTGATAGGCCTCCCATAGAAGAAGAGAAGGGCGTCTGAACGGCACCGCCTGCCGAAGAGTCACTCTCATTTCTGAAACACGTCGTGAGATGGCGCCACTTGAGAGGAAAGGCCACGAAGCACGCGACCGCACCTTCACGCGCACCGCGACTGAGTTCGCTTTTGCCTGCTCCGACCGATTACCCATCCTTAATATCTGAGTTTAAAAAACAAAGTTTTTATAGTATTGTTGGCCAAGCACTTGGGTCAGAACCTCAAGGTGTGGGTTCAAATCCTGCCGGATGACTGGTCTTTTCATTTGGTTCCCTATAAGCGTACCGCTTTTCGGTGTCGGTTTTTTGTTACAACCAAACATTAGACAACTCCATGAAAATAGGCTGAGAAAACACATTGTGTCTAAAAATACTAGCATTGTTGGTGTCGTACTATACGACACAGCCGGTATACACTAAACTGACCGTACACAGCCGCATACATATACAGAGTTGAAAATTTAAAAGGCAACGCGGATGCCATCGCGGAAAAAGTGTCACTTTTCGGGTGTTTATACATGCACAGTATCACAGCTAGGTTTGACAACTAAGTCCACATATATAAAACTTTGCTCGAGAACTGTATCTAAAATATGTATTTCGCGAATTATTTTACTACCTGCAGAGCCCGTTTCTGGGCACACAATTGTGTTGGGTCATATGGTCCCAGCAATTTATCAAAGGTGAAATGTCTTTTATCTACAACTACATGCATGTTTTCACTACTTCACGGAAATAAAGACTCCGAGCTAGCGTGTGCGATAAGTATTAATGCACCTGCTTGTTTTCGTAGGAGTGCTGTTAATTTTTACATAATAATCAAATCACCAATAACAAGGGTCCAGGCACGTGTATAAATAACGTGACGCGTGCAAATTTAGGCATTTTTGTTAAGTATGCTTGTATGCGGGCAAGAAAAAATATAAACATCATGATGATGACTATGGTAAAGTTGATTATAATGTGAATTTCCGATGATTTATTTTCCACATTATGTTTTTTTTTTTAATAAAAAGTAACACTAAATGCCTACTAATCATGTAGCTTTACGAAGTACCTCCCAAAGGATAGCACTAAAAAGTATATTTTCGGTTAATTAAAAGTGTTTTGCTCTCACATATTTATACCCCATTGACACGGCAGTGTAAAAGTACCTCAGCCAAATGTACACATTGAAATGGCATTCGGTGTCACACGGTGAATAAACGAAGGATGGATTTATAGATGGGTACTATTTTTATTGGGCGGTAGCTTGTGACACCCAGCCTCGAAACATCCACACTACTCTCAGAGGTGATGTCGATTTTGTCTCTGTTACACGGTGATGCCCGACAAACGGAATCATACAGTCGCGAAAATATATTGGGCAGGAAAGTCGATCGAGTCGTCCACTATCCAGAGAATTAGCTTTCAAGGGTTCATCACGTTCGCAGCAGACATTGTTGCCGTGTCTGCGCCGCAGCTGTTGCCTGTTGACGTGACTATACGTTTCGCGTTACCGTATTCCATCACGTTTGTGTTCAGAATCATTTCAAAATTTACTACTCAGAAATATTCATTTTGTTATAACGCATTAAACAGCACAGACTTTATACTCTTTAGTCTTTATTTCTTGGTTCTGGAAAGCCGCGACCCCGCGGAAAGGCAGCAGCCCGTACCATGGAGGCCCGCGGTGCCGCGTTTAGTGAACCTGACAATGTGATGAGTATATACATGCTTTATGGGTTCCGTAGCTGGGAAGGTAGATTGGCGAGCCCCTTTCGACATAGGCCCTCCCTTAGTAAAATGAACCTTTATACGCCAAGTGATTCCGATATCCAGCTTCCTTGAGTACAGGAACCTGTGCTAAAGGTGCCGTTATGTTGCCGTGTGCATTAAGTATTTGGATACCCGCGTGCGCCTTATTTGCCAGACTGGTTCGACGCGTGAAACGCACCGTTAAAATTTCAAAAAACTAAAATGTACTAAATATATATATTGAATATTGGAAGAGTACTAAAATATACTCCCAGCGTGCTTCTTGTTTTATAAAAATACAAAATAAGTATACATTCGGTGTGTCGATCTTTCGCATGAGTGGTTTCTCTTTTGTTTCTCTTCGAACGATCCAGCTTCGCCTGTTGGCGCAAGACTGGGCAGATCACCTCGCCGCACAACCAGAGGGAACAAAGCTTCAACACCGTCCAGATAACCAATACGGCGAGAACATCTACACTGCAGCGTCCTCCAGCCCCAGCTTCATACTCGATGGTAAGCACACGGATGTCTTTTTGAGTTGGGCTTTTAGAGATGAATGGTGTTTATTTTGAGGATTTAGAGATTTCATTTCATTTCATTTATTTTACCCTTATATCGCCCTCAGGGGGCTTTGCATAAGGGGGGACAAAGAGCAATATATATTAAAACTCACAAAGAAAACACACACACACAAAAAAAACAGTTTAGGTTAATTATGTGTAAAGAGCGGCAAGTGCGGCTCGAAACGCGCTGGGCTCTTCTATTGTTACAATGTTATCGGGGAGTGAACTCCAGTCGGTAATAGACAACTGTAAAGGTGCAAACTTGTAGATGTTAGTCCTAGGAGTGGTGACGTGAAGTTTCTGTGTGTTGCCTGTGCGTGAGGAGATGTGGATGGCGGATCTGCAATACTTATCTCTGGTTTATAAATAAAAACTGGGAAAGGCTACACTAATGCTCTTAGTGAAGGCGAGTTATACGGACAGAACATAATATAGGTGGTTAATTGTCACGACCAGTAAAATAACTAAAAAGTTGTTAATTATATTTTAATAAATACAAAAAACCTATGGTTTCAATTAAAAACTTGCTGAGGGTCGTCGAAAGTCACTCAATAAGTACATTTTATAAATTGTTCTGGGCGCGTGGTGGGTACGCTAAAGTTACCACTCCTGCAACGGGTACAATGCTGGCGGCATAAAAACGCGAGTGATCACAAACGCATAAATTGCGCGGGCGCATTTTTGCGCCCCCTGCCTTGCGCTCGTTGCACGAGTCTCAACCAACGTCTACCCCCGCGCGCTTCCCACACGCCCCAAGGCCTTGCGAAAATTTGCTTATTCAGCTGTCGTCGACGATGCTCAGAAAGTTTCCGATTGCAACCGCATATTTTTTTTAATAATTAGGAAGTTAATTGATACATTTGAGTTAATAAACCGAACTATCCTGACGATTATTGTCTCTATTTTATGTGCCCCTGATAGTATGACTCACCTGCGCAGAGCGCGTCAGTGTAGACTTCGCGGTTTTTTTTTTATTAAATAAAATCCGTTTTAAAACACCTTGCGTATAGAAGGCACCTTGTGTAGAAACAAGTCAGATCTTGCACACACCAGGTGTCAGCACTGGGCAAGCACCGTGTCGATAGCAGCGCCACCGCAGCGAGGGGGACGTGGGAGCTAGCCGAGAAAATAAATAAAAAAAGCGACACTGGAAATATATAAATGAATCCTTCTGAATAATGTCTACCCCGACAGATGTCAGATAGAGAGGGTAAAGTGATAGTTAGCAAATTAATTTCCTAAAATATACTACTTAGCTAACTTTTTAAATATTCGCTTTAGCTGGCACATTCCTATTAACACCTCGTGTCCCGGAATCCGGGTGAAGTCTTTAAAATGATCGCATAAATCGGCTTAGTAACGTATTGTGCTACGATGTACCATAAAGGTGGGTCGAGCTGGTGGAAGCATCGCAGTAAAATTTTAAAGAACAAACTTACCTGAGTAAAAAAAAAGTAAAAGAACATTAGCCTGGTTTTCTCTACCTTCCGCTGACTGGAGTGAACAACCGACAGATGGCGGCAGCGGCACTTCGGGAACTTGAGGACCTTCCAACTGCGGATGCAGCTCAGAAACCGACCTGTAAACACAAAGCACGGTATTCGTTGAGGCGAGAACAAAGAGACTGGGCAACACAAAGCGGTGTAAGAGGATGGACAACACACAGCACTCCGTGTTGTCCAGTCTCTTACTTGTCCTCGTCTCAAGCGCTACTATGTTTTTGAACACACAGTACCAACTCCCCCAACAATATGCACTTTCCAGCGCTTATTACCCGGGCGGAAAGTGCCGAGTGACTGAGCTGTGAACGCGTGCTCAGCGTCTGATGGCCAGTACGAAAGAGTTACAGCGCATGCTCAGAGGGCGTCTCACAGCCCAGCATGACAAAGATGGCTGCGCGCACAAGGCGATTTTTGGAAAGATCTTTAGGGAAAGCTCCCGACCGGTTGTTCCGCACTGTTTGTTGACACGCTTATTTTTCTTTTTTACGGCTTATTTTTGCGCTTTTGAGGAATTTTAGACCATAAAACAAGTGCCAATATGCAACAAAAAAAATCATTATTTTATGTTTAGACGTTGTGCCTTCTGTTATCGTCCACATCACTTTTTTTATGCTCGTAATTTAAAAGTACACACCCGGGCAGATTGAGTGACTGATTGAGGTTTAGTGACATAGCAGAATCCCAGGCCACAATGCGCCAACAACTATGACTATTGCAGGAAATCAGGGTATTAAAGAACAAAGAGCTGTAGTAGATTGTGGGTTATGAAAACTATGAGCATGAGAGTATACCCACATGGGCATGGTTCCAAGACACATGTTAAATCATAGCTCATCTTGAAGTGTAATATCTCTAAGAAAATTAAAAACACACTCGTGTAGTATTAGCGGTTCGTTGCCGAGTAAAATGACCAAATGTAATGGGGTGTGCTCTTGGTAAATTTGTGCAAAATGTCTGTGACGTTCACGATCATAAATAGGGCATACTAGTAAAATGTGCAGGATGCTTAATGGGTGTTCGCACCCCGGAGCATACTCCCCTCGCAAAAGGTTCCCATGAGTAAGACGTGACTCGGGTATACGTAACCCAAAGTAACCGTCGTGACATTCTGTCGTCATCCACCTGCACGCGGGCTTGATAGGCATGGTAACAACTAGGGATACGCAAATACTGATTCGAATCGAATACCACACTGTCAACCCTAACTTCAACACTGTTAAGAAAACCGGTTGCCGTGGATTTCTCTTCCACTGCGAAAGTTAAGAATGACGCAGTGCCATTCGATTCGAGCCTTTATTTGCACACTTGTCGTAAAAGCCTACCAAAGGCAGAGCACGGCTCATGATGTCCACGCTTCTCGCTTCGTGGTTGGTTCTTCGACCCTCTTGTCGGCTGATGCGGCAATCTGGTTGGCCGAGGGGCGATAAGACGAGTCCTGCGAGACGCCACGCATACGGCCACAGCTCAGAGCCTTTTTCGCGTTCAAGTCCGTTGAAACCTCTCACCAACTCTTTCCTTTTTGCCTTTAAATACGTTGTATTCATATGGTCAGCCTCAGCAAAACACAGTGTTGTATGACACGTCGTCACGTAATGCTCTAATGTGTGGGAATTAAAAGGAGGGAGGATTACGCACCTTTTACGTGCGGGGACCTTTCCGGCGCTTAAAGGGGAAATCGGATGCCCGTCCCACCGCGCGGCCGACAACTACCAGCGAGGGCTGTCGCCGCGCCGGGTTCGGCGCGGCGGCAGCCCTCGCTGCCAACAACGATGATCCCGGTATCCAGTAGCGTTTATTGAGTACCAGGGGTCTCCAACTAGACACTGCGGTCAAGCGAGCCGCGGACACAGTGTGCCCGCATCGCCCGCCGACCTGAGAGCCAAAGGGGTAATTGCGAGCGGAGTCATCGCCGGTCGGGCGAGCTCACGCCGCTACCCGTCGTCGCAGGAGTTCGGGGCCAGGGCTCTCGGCAGACGGACGTCTACAGGTTGTGGGGACGCCGACTGTCAGAGCCCGGGGAATCACTAGCGCCGGTCGCACGAGCTCGCGCCACGACTTGACCCGTTTTCCGGAGTCCAATCGAGGACTCCCCGACCACACGACCGTCCACTCGGAGGGCAGGCCCGACTCCCTCTCGCGCGATGTCACTGTTCCCCAGAAATCGGGGAGACGCGCGGAGGAGTGCGAGAGAGTAGGTCAGCATGGTGACGTAGTCTCTCCGACACGATACGGAGCGACCGGGCTCGAAGTCAGACGGCTTCGCCCGGAACGGCCTCGGCTTACGCCTTCTCGGGGTAGGGAAACCAGTGGCTCCCACAAATGTCACGTGGCACTATGACGTCATGGTGTCTCTGACGTCATCGGGTCACGTGATTATGACGCCTTGTGACAATGCGACGTCACGTAAAGTCACAGTATTACGTTACACTGTGACGGCTTTGTGTATTCGAAGAACTTCCGCAACGTGGCCCCCTGAGTGGCCTCGTCACCGTGCCCACAAAAAGAGGAGTGCGAATAGAGGCCCTAAAAATAAGGTTTTAGAGACAACCGGTTTTTAGAAATAATCGGTTATCCGCGGTGTAGTGTCCTTGACTTAGCCAAATCGACTATACGGGTTGGCAACATTGCTGTATCAGAAATGGCGGATTAAACGAACGTAAATTACCACGCTGCAGTCCTCAATCCAAGCAATCCCTAAATACTCCAACACCACAATGGTGTCAGAAGTGCCGTCCGTGGTAGCGGAAGACTCCTAGAACCCGTGCACCACGAAATCATCGGCGAGCACCGCCACAGCAATCAACGGAACGGGTCAACATGGCACACACGCTGCCCCCGTTTCCGAGCTTCAACGTCCAAGCGACGGATGCCAACAACATCAGCTTCGAGTGGGCCAAGTGGGTGGACAGGTTCGAGAACTTTCTCGTTGCGTATAACATTACGTCGGACGTACGCAAGAAAGCGCTCCTCCTTCATTACGCCGGGGAGGAAGTGCATGATCTCTACCGGTCTCTCCCGGACGACTCGTCATCGGCAACTGTCAGCAGCACCGCGCAAGGCGCAGCGAGAACGTCAACATCTGAGTACGACGCCGCGAGAGCAAAGCTCGACGCTCACTTCGCACCAAGAATCAACCCAACATTCGCCATTTATCGTTTCCGACAAGCACAACAGAACGTCGGTGAGTCACTCGATGCTTTCTATGCGCGGCTCCGGCAGCTGTCTCGTCATTGCAACTTCCGAGACGTTGATCTCGAGGTAAAGAATCAGATCATCATCGCGACCACGTCCACGCGCCTGCGGAAGTATGCCATACTGCATTCGCTGGACTTGCCGGATATCCTCAAGCAAGGACGCATGTTCGAGGACGTGGAGCACGATGTGTCTGAAATCGAGCGGAGCGCCGACAAGCCAGTCCTCGCAGTAGGAAAGGATGAGCAGCATCGCGGCAGCAGGCCAAAAAGAAGTTTGAAACCGCCTCAGCGACCAAACTACCAGGCACAACATCACAGCCTGTCGACAGATTGTCGCAACTGCGGTGGCAAATGGCCACATGGCGGCGGACGATCAAACTGTCCTGCATGGGGAAAAACATGCAAAGCCTGCAACAAGATCGGACACTTTGCCAAGGTGTGCCGTTCATCAAACAAGACAGTACAAACTATCAGCCAGACCCGCCAAGACAGCAGTTCAAGCGGTGAAGAACACGTTTTTGTAGCAAAAACATTGTTTCCAGCAAGCACGTCTCCCAAAGCTGTCATCAGAGTCGACAATGTTCCAATCACCTTCGTGATTGACACGGGCGCAACCGTGTCGGTTGTTGGTGAAGATGAGCTCCGGAACTGTCACCTAGATGAGAAACTCGAGAAAACATCCGTAAAGGTTTTTCCATACAAAGCAACGTCTCCTCTGCAACTTCTGGGAAAAGTCTCAGTCAGCATGATGTACAAGGAAAGGTGCAGTCAAGAGGACATCTTCGTCACCACAGGAAGCTGCGCACCACTTTTAAGCTTTGCAGCAGCATCAAATCTTGGTCTTATTCGAATCACATACCAAGTCGAAGACTCCCCAACAGGAAAGTCGATCGTGGAATCATTCCCTAACTTGTTCAAGGGAGTTGGCAAACTCAGAGAGCAGCAAATCCACCTCTTCGCGGATGAAACTGTTCCTCCCATCGCTCAACCGCACCGACGCATTCCATTTGCAGTGCGAGCACTTGTGGAGACAGAACTCGACCGTCTCCTGTCAGAGGACATAATCGAGCCAGCAGTTGGACCCACACCATGGGTGTCTCCAGTGGTTATTGTACCGAAACCACACCACCCTGATGAGATCCGTATGTGCATCGACATGCGCCTTGTGAACACTGCCATTCAACAAGAGCGACATCTGTTTCCAACAGTTGATGACATCATCGTAGCTCTCAACGGAGCAACCATTTTCTCAAACCTTGACCTGAAAAACGGCTATCATCAGCTGGAACTGGACGTGTCTTCGAGACGACTAACAACATTTTCAACGCACACTGGTTTGTTCCGCTACAAACGTCTCAACTTCGGCATCAGCAGTGCAGCAGAAATCTTCCAGAACACAATTCGCCAAGTGCTAAACGGCATCCCAAACGTCCTAAATGTCAGTGATGATATTCTGGTCTTTGGAAAGACGAAAGAAGAGCATGACACCGCTCTAGATGCAGTCCTACATCGACTTCGGGAATCAGGACTAACGCTCAATGAAAAGAAGTGTCACTTCCACCAGCGAGAGCTGACCTTCTTCGGGCTCATTTTTTCATCAAAGGGTGTTAGTCCAGACCCTAAGAAAATTGAGGCTTTCCTACAAGTAAGAGTACCAGAGTCTCCTCAAGAGGTGAAGAGTCTTTTGGGAATGGTCAACTACTCAGGTCGGTTTTTACGAAACCTTGCTGACCTTACTCAGCCACTGCGTGAACTTACGCTAAAGAATGCAACCTGGGAGTGGACTGAACGACAGCAGAAAGCCTTCGACGAACTGCGGTGCGTCATGTCAGACGCATCTACCCTGTCCTACTTCAATCAAGCCAAGCCGACAGAGCTTGGTTGTAGATGCGAGCCCACACGGACTTGGGGCCATTTTAACACAACGAGATGGTGCACAGGTTGCAGTGATAGCTTATGCAAGCAAAGCATTAACACCAGTGGAAAGCCGCTACTCCCAAATCGAGCGAGAAATGTTGGCAGCAGTATGGGGCATGGAACACTTTCGGCTCTACTTGTGTGGTGCGAACTTTCTTTTATTGACAGACCACAAGCCCCTGGTGAGCATCCTGGGAAACCCAAGGTCGTCACCATCTGCCCGCATAGAGCGCCTTGCTCTCCGCATCCAACAGTATGCATTTTACGTACAACACACTGCTGGAAGCAGCAACCCCTCGGACTACCTTTCAAGACACCCAGTGCCACAACGGGAGACAGGCACCCGCATCGCCAAAATTCCTGATGAGTATGTCAACTTCATCCAACGCCAGTGCATCCCAAAAGCCTTCTCGGTCGAGGAAGTTGTGGAACAGACTAAGGCAGACCAACAGCTGCAGCTACTGGTGAGAGCCATCCAGCATCCTCTACGTAACGACTGGCTGCTACCAGAACTAAAGCCATTTGCAGCTATGAAGGCAGAACTCACTTTAACACCAGAAGGTCTCATCCTTAGAGGGACACGCCTTGTCCTTCCAACTGGTCTCCAGAAACGTGCAGTGCAACTCGCACACCGAGGTCACCAGGGAATCGTAAAGACGAAACAATTACTACGAGAGAAGGTATGGTTTCCAGGCATGGACAACCTTGTGCGCATGCTGGTGAAGAGTTGCCTTCCATGCCAAGCTGCAGTACCCCAAACAACTCAAGAGCCACTTGCGATCACCGAACCTCCCAGCAGTCCCTGGGAAAAAGTATCCCTTGACTTTTGCGGTCCATTGCCCGATGGGAAATATGCAATGGTGGTGATAAATGACTTTTCGCGATACCCTGTGGTACTGGTCCTCAATTCGACAAGCGCACGCAATGTACTGAGCAACCTCCGAGTAGTGTTTGGCCAGTTTGGCATCCCAGAACAAGTGAAAACGGACAACGGGCCACCGTTCCATGGCACAGAGTTTGCTGAGTTTGCCCAAGAGCTGGGATTTCGACACCACAGAGTCACACCGCTATGGCCTCAGGCCAACGGTGAAGTGGAACGATTCATGAGGACATTAAAGAAACAGGTGCACACAAGTGAACTCGAAAACAAGGACTGGAAGGCTGAGCTAGATACCTTCTTGATGTCTTACAGATCTACGAAACAAGGCACAACAACAAAAACGCCTTACAAATTGCTGTTTGGAAGACCAATGAGGAATCTCCTTCCCCTCTATGCAGCCCCAATTCCAAGAACAGTGGACTCAGAAGGACTGAGGTCAAGAGAGCTTGCAAGAAAGGCTTACAACAAGCATCGAGCTGACACACGGAGAGGCGCTCGTCGACATCGCTTCTGGGTGGGTCAGCGAGTCCTGTGTAAACAAGCCCAACACAACAAATTTACGTCGTATTACGATCCGACCCCTTATACCATTACCAGCATTCATGGATCTCAGATCAAAGCATCCCAAGGCAACCGAATGATCACACGGAACGTTAGTTTTTTCAAGGATGCCTCCAGGATCAACCGAGTGCCACGCAGAGCAGAGACCGACCTAGATGACACTATGCCACCGTCCAGCACGGACGGTTGCATTTCAGCACCAGGGCCATCAGTGCCTGCAAGACGACAGAGCCTCCTTCATCGACGCTACCCCGTCAGAAACCGCAAGCCACCACGGCATCTTGCTGACTTTGCAACATAATCCCTTTTAAATTCTTTGTGAAGAAGAGTGAACTATTGCAAAATGAAAGAACTCATCTCAGCAAGTGTTCAACTGAACATCGACAGCACATCATTTAGTTAATTTTGTTTTGTTACTTTGCAACATTTTATTTGATGTATTAGATTCTCAATTTCATCTTCTCACAAGGAGGGTAGCTGTAGTGTCCTTGATTTAGCGAAGTCGACTATACGGGTTGGCAACATTGGTGTATCAGAAATGGCGGATTAAACGAACGTAAATTACCACGCTGCAGTCCTCAATCCAAGCAATCCCTAAATACTCCAACACCACACGCGGTTCTTCGAATTAGCAAATGTTTGATTTTGGGAACCGGATAAGCTGGTATTCGAATAACCGGTTGCGTTATTCGGCTATATCAATATCCAGGTATTTGAATATGTATATATGCATAAATTATTTTGTACCGGAATCGGTGTAAAATTAACGGTACAAAAACGCCCTCTATATAGTTCGATCTCATTGTCATATGCACAAAATTCGTACAAATAAAATAAAATCGTTATTATTAATGTACATTAGAAAAAAAAATAATCCGGATAACAGGATAACCGGACTTTCAAACCGGTTTTTCGTATTTGAAAATTCGAATAACCGGACAACCGGCTTAGAAAGCCGAATTGGCTTTCCTCCGGTTCAACCGGATATCCGGTTGGACGGATGGTTGCATCATCTACTAAAAATGCTACGCCCCATGACAAACACTTCTAGAAAGTGCCAAAAACAGAGCCAATTTTCTACTTAGTTTTACTTTCTTCTTCTTTTTCGCGCAGCACAAACTCCCGTCGATTCCTGGTACAGCGAGATCAAGGACTACGACTACGCCAATCCGGGCTCCTCGTCAAAAGCGACACACTTCACCCAGGTCGTCTGGAAGTCCACCACAAACCTCGGATGCGCCAGAAGCAAAGCGGCTTCCCGAAATGCATACTTCGTCGTCTGTAACTACGACCCCTCGGGAAACTATGCGGGGCAATATGAGCAGAACGTGCTCCCAGTGGCTTCCGAATGAGCGAGACATCGAGCGGATGGACCAGGGAACACCGTCTCGAGAACCAACCGTTCCGCCAACATGCAGCTGAAAGAAGAAAACGTCCACGTGACATCGGCTGCTTCGGGTGCACGTTGAGAAGCACGAATCTCGACGACGAAAGCCTGTCTCCGGCTGATCTGCACTCTCCTTATTAAATGCTTGTTGTGTTTTTGGTGTCTGCTAAAGGTTGTATCCTGTCGTCTCACACGCGTGTAAATTCACCAAAGCGCGGAGTGCCAATTTGAACGCTCCCATAATCTCAGAATTGTGGTTTGTGGAACCGAGGGTTCTACACTTTTTTGGTATATTGTTCAAGCCATAGCTTTTATAAAAAAAAAAATAAAAATTAATGTTGATTGGAGGTATGGGTTGATTAAAAAAAGTAGCTCGACTAATTACCACCCTTTAATTGACTAATAATTCAATTAAGCCATTAGTTGATTTATCTTCAGGATATCACATAAGACTTTAAAACTGCTCATTTTTTTTTTACTAATTTTGCCATGTCGTGAATGGCATATTGCAGTCGATCCATTTGAAACTGACGTTGGGACACCTTTTTAAAAGGGAAGTCTTTTAAAACTTGAGGTTTTTTTAAATTATTATTTAAACATTATAATAACTCGATTACAATAACAAAAATGTTGGAGTGGTTAACCGTGGAAGCCTGGGTCCTAAAAGAAATAAAAGATCTAAAAAATATTAGATTAGGCATTTTTACTTTTTTTGGCTCGAGTTTCTTCAACTCAAGACTCGGATTAAGTGGCTAAAACATTTTGTCGCAATTAAAGCATTACCCAAATAATCTGAAGGCTAGTCGATGAATTGCCCGGTCCAAATGTTGTCACGAATGACAATTAATGAGGCGACGAAAACTAAACAAACTAATTGTTTAATGGGGCGAACTTTGGCCCGAAACAAAACAGAGAAAGGCTAGCGTCGCTGGCGTCAAAGGCGGCGTGAGAGCAGGACAAAGCGCTGGGGCGGGACTAACTCTGGCTCGCCACGTGGAGACCCTATTGTACACGCGAGTGCTTCTGGAAAAATCGGCATAGAAGGTTCGGCGCGTAGAACATTCTAACCTCGAATAAGCAACAAGGTTCTCAAATTTACCAGCGCGTGAGATTTAGAGAAGTAGCAAAAATCTAATTGTGCAGCCAGGAATCGAACCCCCTTTGCGTGGAAGCCAAACGCGATAACCGTTCTTCCGCAAACTTTTTTTTTAATATTTTTTCTTTTTTTTTCTATTGGTTTGCCCACGGACACGCTTGCTCGGAGACTCGCGTGGCATTACTCCCCTTTTTTAGAAAGATAATCGGCTTGATGCAGAAAACACAAAACAGAGCAAAGCAAACAGGCGAAGCAAAGCAAACAGAGCAAAGTAAACAGGCGCTACTCGCGCCTGGTGAATACGGGTGCCTGTATTTCTACGTGGTACACCCTTAAAGGGAAAACCCACACATGTTAAAACAACCTTATTATTTGTGCATACCTGTGTATACCCAGTTTTTTCCTGACTCGCATTGTCGTATGCCCCTTTAATGTCTAGAAATGCTATCTATAACGGCGTTTTTCACATTCGTGCCACCTCTATACATTGAGTGATGATACATAAGTTATCATCTAACCTTCAAGCTCTTCGGAACCCATTCTAGTGCTCACCTAACATGTTTTCGGCCCATTCTTCCATTGTTCTTTTCACTACCTGCATCGCTAGTCTGCACATGACCGACGTTACTGTTATTGGGCGGTATGATGTTATTAGTGTTGGATAAAATACTCGATAAAAGTATTTCAGTTAACTTACTAAATACCTGCTCCATAGAGAAGTTTAGTTAACTTACTAAATACCTGCTCCATAAAGTATTTAAAATACTACTCAAGTTACTTTCACCGTAAAGTATCTTGAGTAGAGTACAAATGCTTAGAAATGTATCTCAATTACTTTTGAAGATACTTCCGCATTGCGTAATTTTTATCGACGTCAGACACAACGACAATTATACGGTTGCGCTAACCTAGTTTACCCGAATGGTTTATTAGCACGCAACAACAAAAAAAAAAAAAGAAAAACAAATATCGTAGGGCTATTTAATGCAGTCCAACTATACGGAGCAGGATATTGTCACGAACGACAAATGATGAGGCGGCGAATAACTGAAGAAACTCAACGTTTAATGGAGCGAAGTTGTGCCCAAAACAAAATAGAGAAAGACTAGCGTCGCAGGCGTCGATGTCGGCGAAAAAGCAGGATCGAGCGCTGGGGCAAGATTGACTCCGGACCGCCCCTCGGAGCACCTTTTGTACCCGCGTGGGTTTCTGGAACATTCAGCGTAGAGTGTTCGGCGCGTAGAACATTCGTAACTCGATCAGACGACAAGGTTTTCGAGCTAACGAGAATCTCAACTTGAAAGAATAAATGAAAGTGGAGTCTGCTTCCTGAAATCGAACCCGGAGCTTCCGCGCGAGGGCCAAGCGCGGTAACCATTCGGCCACGCGCTCGCCCGGCAACGCGCGGGGCCGTCTCACTGATGCATGTTACAAAACATTTCTGGGACAACAAGAAGAAGGTCGCTTTAGCCATTGTGGAGGAGATCAGACCGTGGCGCCCCAAGTGGTTAACTTTAGAACTACACGGATGGGGACAACGAATACAATGACTCAGCGCTCGGCTGACTCAACGAAACGCGGCGTCAGCGTTCGACTGGATTCGGAGTTCGTGTTCTTTGGTGAGTGGGAGGAGGGGCTTTTGTTACCACTCCGGCCTGCATGAACAACGCATCATGCAAGGTGCTCAGCTCAGCACAAAAGCCCAAGTGGGTCAAGCTCGCATCTTCTGATGACTGCTTTCGGAAGAGATCCGGTACTTAACGTCACTTGTCGATTGTTAGTACTTTTACATTACACTCTGCCCCGCGCTCTATTAAAGAAAATGACAGGAACATGCCCATATGGCCTGTGGGAATTTGCAAAGGCCTTGTGTTAGGTATACACCGGTGTGTGGGGGCAACAAACGGGTCAGAGTGTCTCGCCAATAGGGGCATCACTGAATATCACGGCCAGCGGCGCACCTTACACGGATCGTTTTAACTACAATCCATATTCCATATACGAGGAGTTCACTATAAACGAACTTGGGATACGGATATGAGTGAATGGATAACAAAGAACCCACATAATAGCCCCGGCAGGGCTTGCACCTTCTTCAAGTAGGTTGTGTTCAGAAAGGCACTCAACGTTTGGGGACGCTTTGTTGGCATTTTGAGAGGTCATCCTGCTCGTAGCTTGTTTCCTGTCCTGTTCTCTGCTTATCAATGTTCGCTTACAGACAGTGTTCGCAAGAGCAATAAGTGACGGACTGACCACAAAAAGAAAAGAAACAACAAAAAACCGTGACGTTTTGCAGTAGCAGGATCAAAATACAAAAAGCAAAACAGATCTTTGTCCACTTGTTATGTTTTTCTATTTATTATCTTCTTGGCACTCAAGTCTGTATTGTTGTCGTGGGTCGTTTTCCGGTCTGCGTTGCGCCTCAGTGTGGCGATATTTACTTCCGTGAAACCACCCGTTTTGTTTGAGGATTTTTTGGGGGGAAACTCTGGGAAACAAAAGACGCCTTGGGGAGGCGAGGGAAAAACCTTCATTGTACGAACTTTTGGCTGAAATATGAGTCGCAATCGGCCAAAAAAGAAGCGATGTCTTCACGAGCTCACTCAAAGTCACCGTAGCTAATCGGAGCTAGCAACAGGATTCGGTTGCTCCAAAGAATGTTCACGCTTGCTCGTGCCACGCCCACGTCACTTCATAGCGAAAAAGTTGGAAAATGGCGGAATGTCAAAAATGTATTTGAGATATTGAGTACAAGATACTCAGAAATGTAATTAAAATAGTACTATAGTACTACAAATACTCTAGATCAAAAGCATTTGCAAGCTAGCAATATACCTCAAAAAGTATTTGAATACAGTATCTTGAGTAGATTTGAGATAACTTAAGTATGGATGTTATGCTATCTTTATTTTGCTTTTCTTTATATACAATACAATACAATACAATACAAACTTTATTCTTACCACAGATAGGTGTGGTGAATGGGAGGCCGGAGAAAAACCTGCAGAAATGCAGCTTAGCGAGCTCCGGAACCCCTCCCTTTAGGAGCTACGACGGAGTACAATGAATACATACATAAAATGCGTTCAGATACAAACAACACAAATAAAGTGCGCACGTGAGAAATACATTCCTAAATATTTAAGAAACATTAGATATACTGCTGTGACACATTGTCACTTCATCTATATTTCCATCAAAATATTCCTTCAACAAAAATGTAAAGCATAGCGTTTTTTTGTTTGTTTTCCGCAATTTGTCCTGCATTTCGGAATTTACCAAGGCTGCTGATGTCTAGACGGATAATAATTTGTTTTTCTTTTAATTCAGATAGCTGAAGAATTGTACTAGAACGCCCATATGCCGCATTTTTATAAGCTATTGTTAAACGATCGTTATAAATTTGCTGTTTTCAGGATTTTCTATAATTGAAACAGCGATTCGGTGTGACGTACGTAGGAAACATCTGCTATTATTCGTAACACCTTTTGTGTAGTAAATGTATAATACTTAAATTTTAATCAGACGTATTTCACCAGACGAGATTGCAGTAACACAACTGTGAATAAAATAACTAATTCTATAAAAACCTTTTTACGCTTTTCGGTAGAACATGCCTGTGTTTGTTCATGATTTCTACAGATTCACCTAGTTTAGAGCAGTTTTCTTAAGCGGCTAGTCCAGAGCATAGTATCACAGAAAGTAACTCCGAATGTTTTAACACTATTTACAAATTCAATGTATAACGACCCAAAGTTGAGAAGATTGTATAATCTATCAATTTCAATCTTATTCTGATTAGTGTACAATCATTGGGTACCTCTAACCCCAATATTATTTCATCATTTGCCTGTCGTAACTTTCCCTTG